GGATGGATGGATGGATGGATGGATGGATGTTCGATTGTAGGTCTCTTCAGAATGGCTGAATGGATCTTAATGAAATTTGGCATACATATAGAACATCGACACGAAGAACACATAGGCTACTTAATTTATATTATGTTTTTTCAATTCCGAGCGGACGGAGCCGCGGGCGACCGCTAGTTTCATCATAAATTTTTAATGAATTCAAACATTCAACAGTACACTTCAAGTGGCAGGATCGATTAAATATTTTACAATATGATAATCAAATTTTGGGTCAAAATTTTCAATGAAGCCGCAAACTATCGAATAATTTGCCGACAGAATATGTATTGTGCTTTAGATATTCCAGGCATTGAATCAACTGACTTCTTCAAATTCGGTCAAGCTCTAATAGCAGACCGTTCAAAAAACATTGCGATGTCATAAAGTTTATCGGTTAGTCATCCGTCTATCAAAATTTATGTTCAGCAGTCAGTACTGCAACTAACACGTATCTTTTTTTTAAATTTAGAAACCTTTTCTAATTCCTAACAATATAACTAAACATTAAAACAAAAGCACTTGGAAGTTAGCGCCAAAGGAAATTCGTTTCGATGTTGTAAAAGCCCTTTACTTCACAAAATGTGTTTCGCCTTTTTTAATTACGTCGTTTTTACACTTTTTCGAGTTTTTTTTTCTGTTCGGTTTAACTGCTGGCGAAATGAATGCTTTTACTTCTTTTACTTTAGTTGAATTCAAAATACAGCTCGTTTAAAATAATATTTTTAGAGAAATGTTTTCAGAATTTTGTACAAGCAAAATTTTATTTGAATAGTTTTATTCCGTGTTTTCATTATGTTTAATTATAAATTGCTTGTTAAATTCTTTATGTGTATTTTCGTTTAGGGTTTTCATAACAATATTCTTGCGATTATCTTCCTACTTTTACTTCTGACTAATATTATAAATGCGAATGTTTGCACTGTCGTATATTTGTTTAAGTTTATATATCTCCAGAACGACTGAAGGGATCTCTGTGTAATCTGGTATACGTATAGAACATAGTCTCAGATAGACATAGACTACTTATTAAGCTTTTTTAAATACTTTGCGGACGGAGTCGTGGGCGATAGCTAGTGATATAATATGACGTTGTTAATAATTTCTACTATTACAATAGACGTCGTTGGCTCAGGATTGAAGCACTTAGCTTGTAATCTGCTGGTTGTGAGTTCGAATTCAGCCCTGTACTATTGTGTTTTTCGATATTTCATTTATCCGACGCTCTTGCGGTGAAGGGAAACATTGTGATGCAACCTGCACATATCGGCGAAGAAAATCAAAGATATGTGTGACATCCCGCACTGGGCCAGCGTGGTTGACTATGGCCTAGTCATCCCTGACTAGGTAGAGTTCGAGCCCCTGAGGGGACGTATAGTGAGATGAACATGTTAGTGACTATTATAATATTATTTTTGTTACATACTTTTAACTCGATAAATAACCTCTTTGGAACATAAAAAGCTCGGTGGTGAAGAAGCGGTTCGTTTATTTCTGGTTATAAAAACGGCAACTGCATTGCACTTGTTTAAAAATGTATTTTAATTCAAATCGTTAATTGAATGAAGCTCAGTTAGAGTTATAATTTACTATAATTATAAATTTTATAACCAGAAAATGTTTTACATTTGATTTTTTTTAAATGTACTCAAATTTATTTCATCTTTAAATAACGTTTTGAGTGATATTTTTGGATGAGATTGAATTAAATCTCCCATTTTTCAAATGTTTCACGAATTTTAATTTTTTTTTTTGAAAATTTGATCTTTTTTCGGCTGCATTAAATGCCACGTGTCTTACAAATATGTTTAGCCTTCTAATCGAAGAAAAATTCATCATCAGCTCACCATATGTCCTCACTGAGGAATACAGAGCCTACCCTAAGTTAGAGGTGACAAGGCATTTGTCAACCACGGTCTAGTGCGGGTTGGTTGACTTCACACATATCTCGGAATTTCTTCGCAGATATGTGCAGGTTGCATCACGATGTTTTCCTTCATCGTAAGAACGTCGGATAAATGTACATGTGTAAATCGGAAAGAAATTGGTACATGGCGGGATTCGAATCCAGGACCTGCAGTTTGATAGTCAAGTTAACCCCTGAGCCACCGACGCTCTCAACCTACTTCTCTCTAAATTCTTGTTTAAATTATTTTTTGTTTTCCTACTCAATCTATCACTGCTAAGATTCCGAGCCGACAAACTGTTCTCACTGTTCAGATAGCTCTTGTCCAGTAATATGTCATCGCAGATTACGTAGAAGCATTTCGTTTCCAAATATATTACCAAATTTCTTGGCAACAGCCCATATGAAGAACTACTTTTCTGTTTCAGTAAGCATATGATATAATACCAGCTAAAAGTAATATCTGAATATAAATTGGTTTCAATTTAGTTACATGCGATGTTAAATGGCATATTTTAGAAGTAATTTTTCATTTATATTGCAAAGTTACGAAGCACGTGAAGAGTTATAAGAGAAGAGTTAAAACAAAAAATGTCTAAAGGAAGCAGAGAGCGGAAAGAAAATAATTATAAAACATCTTAATAATTAGCCATTGTTAATGTTAAAGTTAACAAATATAAATTAATTAAACACAGTAATGACCCAAGGTGGGTGTAGGCCTCCACTAATTTTCTCCATTTGTCCGTTTGCCGTTTTAAAAAAGGTTTTTCCCGCTATTTTATTATATTAGTATCAAAACAATAGTGTTTTCGATTAAATATTGAACTTGGAAATTAAAGGTAGATAATTAGATAAAGGTAATTGAAGCCATACAAACAATAATTATTTGTCGGTAAAGCCTTGAGAAATAAGGAAGCGTGTAGCTTATCTCTGATAATCCTACCTACCTTCGTGACGCAACCTTCTATGTCATCATCGTCAGCTCAATACACGTCCCCATTGTGGGGCTCAGAGTTGCATCAAAATGTTTTCCTTCACCGTAAGAACGTCGGATAAATGTACATATGTAAATCATAGTGGTACATACCGGGTTCGAACCCATGACATGCAGATTCCAAGTCATGTGCTTAACACCGTAGAAACCGACGCTCTAATCTTCTATGTAGTTCATTTTAATCCAAAAAAAGGTAATATAACCAAACGTCACTTACTAGCTCCATCGTAATTCCTTCACGGCATAATACGTTTCCCTCTGACCGTACGAAACAGCTTTGTATGTACGAATTACAGTCGTCTCAGTTGACTTGAGTTATCTCTTTGAACTCGTTTGATGGGCAGCTTCATAAGAATATCATATATAGGAACTCAGTCGACTATTATAGTGAGCGATATATAAGATTACACTTAGACATAAATAGATGTAGGTTATTGGGTCAATGTATCATTCTACCAAATGTAACTATCTATCTACAACTTATATTTACTAAAAATTTAAGAATAATCTTTATCAATTATCAAGTAGGCGAAATTAACCTCGTAAAGTGTAGATAAAAGTGAACATAAGAACACGCCGATGACCTTGAAAGATATTTGAAAAGAAGTATTGTTAATGATTTGTTTTTATGTATTTTAAGTGAAATATATAATAGATGTCGCATTAAAAAAACTTGATATATAGCTTATGTTTTCTTCAAGACTATGTTCTACATCTGTGATAAATTTCATCAAAATCCGTTGAGCCGTTTCGGAGATACCTTGTAACAAACATCCATCTAAACTTTCGCATTATTAATATTAGTAAGATTGAATTCACAAGTTTAATCGTAAACAGTGCTGTTTGTCAATAGTAAAATTATTTAGGGCTTGAGTTTTAACATAATAATTTAAAATGATATCGATTTATTTTTAGTATCTTTAGATTATATTTAAATAGAGGCGCGGGTGACAGCTAGTCACCCGCGCCTCCGTCTGCGCGGTATTATGTTCTACATTTATGCCAAATTTCAGCGTGATCCATGCAGCCGTTCTGGACATACTTTCAAACAAACATCCATCCAAACATTCGAATTTATATTATAATATTAATTAGATGGATACAATTGGCAGTAATACAAGAGCGTTAGGACGTCCGTGTTATTATTGTTCTAGGTAAGTTTTAATGAAATTCTCACGTAGCTCGAAACAAAGCTTTGGTTTTGCGAAGACACTTACAAACTATTGCCATTGTTTTAAATTTAATTGATATAAAACCTCTGATAATTTAATAAAATAGAAATTAAATTTTTAAAATATATTGTTTTTACATATTTTGTTAATACTTTTTCATTGTTTTATGTTAAACAAAGTGAGTTAGCTATGTTTTAAATTGTTATAAAATTTTAAACGATATCTCCTGAAGCTGGAATAATGGAATAATAACTATTATGAGACCAAGAGAGAGTCGATGGCTTAGGGTTAAGCACTTGACTTGCAATCTGCAGGTCCTGGGTTCGAATTCCGCCATTTGTTAATGTGTTATTCGATTTACATATGTATCCGACGATCTTACGATGAAGGAAAACATTGTTACGCAACCTGCACATATCTAAGAAGAAATTTAAAGATATGTGTGAAGTCAAATAACCCGCACTTGGCCAGCGTTGTTGACTATAAACGAATCACCCTTAACTTAGAGTAGGCTCCAAGCCCCTCGGTGGAGACGTATAGTGAGCTGATGATGAAACCAATTAAATATAACGAAAGAGAAAAAAAATGTCATTGTTTTCGAAGTCAAATGTTATTGTTTTCGAAGTCAACGAACTAAACATTAAATTTGATTAAAACATAAATGGCGTAACTGCATGTCGTTATGTGGCCAAAGTTCCAAACTGTATCCATCCAAGTTTTAATGAATTCTTAACAAAGTTTATGAAGTATCATGGCGTCCATAATTTGATTAAATTTTGGATACAGTATGTTTTTCTTTTGTAATGTCATTTGGATTTAAAAAGCCGTTAAAGTTTTCTGTACTCGGAAATCTGATTGAATATTTATAAAAATGATTTTTTTTTAACAGGTATTAGAAAGAGTGCTTCATCGCCTGCACGGCTTTGATGGTAACCTGAGACGTTAGTCTTCATTTTGATAGTGGTAAGTTAAAAGTTCTATCAAAACTTTTTCTCTTTAACATGTCTAATCGTAGGTTTTTGAGACCAAAAACATTTTATAACATGTCATCCCTCTTATTATTATCTTATGCAGGGATTTTAGTCTCAGGAACCAATGTTAAAGCTATCCAAATATATAAAATATTGTTCGTAATCAGAAAATATCTTTGCCATGTAATAGGATTGATTTACTAAACGAAACGGTCAGTGCGAGAGCGACTTGCCGGAGACTTACTATAGCCTCTTCACCTTCCCAACCGTTTCCTATAAGAAAGGTATGGAACGGAAGGTGGATTTAGTAGAGGAGGTGAGGTATTAAGTGGAAATATCCTCTTTCATACGATGAAAGGTAAACAATGCATCTATATGTATATGGGCTGCGCTCACTTCACTATTTCGGCGAATTCAAGTAATCGCTTGCTTGTTTGACACATTTTCCTATAAAAAAAAAGAAAATAGTCTAAATGTGGCTAGTAAGTTTTTACGTAAAGGTTGCTTTATTACACACCCATTTATATTAATTTTTTATTTAAACGTTAGACAATACGAAAAAAACAAAAGTTTATCTAATATTACTTTGAAACTTTACACAAATACGAGCCTATTGTGTACAAAGTTGAAAACTAATCGCCATAAATAATTTATTGCGATGTAAACTCTACGCCCACTTAACCACTAGACTTGAAAACTTATATTTATGATTTATGAACAAACCGAAATGTTTGGTTATAGGTTAAAGCAGTATTTAATATATTGAAATACAAGCCATAGTCCGCGACTCCGTCCGCGCGGAAATTATATAAACATAATTAGTTGCGTATGTGTTATTCCATTTAGATTCGTTTAGTTGTTCTGAACATACTTTCAAGCAAACATCCATCCATCCATCTAAACATTCGCATTTATAATATTAGTAAGATAGTAAGGAAGGTTTAGAATATCTACGAAAGATTACAACCAGTAAAATGAAAGTTTTCACATGGCAATATTGATTGATAACGCTAAAGTTCTATTACAATAATCAAATTTATTATCAAACTTTATGTATTATGTCTTTAATTGTCGCTTTGTTTGAGATTAAATGCTTGGTCAAACATGTTTGGCAAACATGCGTTTACCAAGCGACTTTAAGAGGTTACAATTACGTAATTATGTTAATGAGTTTAAAAAAGATGCCATATTCATAGTCAAATCTGTTATAACCTATGAATAAATATCGTTGAGATATATGCTCGTGGTAACAAATAAATCAGATATATTCTACTATAGATTTGATTCCAGCTGCGAAATATTTACATTATGCATTCGTAAGTATAAAGGCAATCACTGAGTCAGTTGCTCGTCTTCGCTCCCTGAATCCGGTATAATATATACACGATAAGATCGGGCCTCGAAAATCGGGCAAACATTTCTCACTAACATTGGCAACTGGCAACATTTCATCTCTGAATTGTACGTTAAACGTTATTTGTATATTGTAGCCAAATGCCTATATTGACTTGATATAGTTTTGTAATATAATTAACTAATTTTAAGGAAACATATTCCTTATTTTCGTTAATAACACTGGCCTTTCTTTTAAAATCTGTCTACATTCATTAGAACACAACTGTTGCCCGAGACTCCGTCCGCGCGGAATTGAAAATAAAACTTAATTAGTAGCCTATGTGTTCTATCATACTATGTTCAACATCTATGCCAAATATCAATGAGATCTATGCAGCCTTTCTGAAGATACCTTCTAACAAACGAATACGACTATGATTGGATTTAGTGCCTAATCTATATGAATAAGTTTCATCTAAACGTCCGGTGAATGATCAAATTCTGTCTTTGTTTAAACAAACTATTCGTCAAACATTTCAAATATGAAGAAGTGTCTACCAAAGCAAGTATACGTTCAAGTACTTTGTCAAACACATAAAGTTTACCGGGAGCTCAACGTACACACGTACCTCAACCGATCTCGTAAAAATCTCAAATAAAAAGAGTAAAAAAGCGAGTCGGCTCTTACTAAAGTATAAGAGAGAAGAGGCAGTTGTTACTACGTCTTAAATCCGTATGATGAAATATTCATGTTCTCCTTAAGCTCCACCGGCTGCTTTGGATAGTATTAAATAATGCATGCCCGCTTTCTATTCGTGCAATGGACCGACGTTGATTGGGAACTTGCTGGCAGATTATTCAAATTAGATGCCTTCAAAGAAATAATTACAATTGCGCGACTTGGCATTTATCTGTTGGTATGAAGTCGTGAGACCCAATAAGACGCAATACACTTACGTAAGAACTTCATTCCAAGTATATTGGGTTCTTTATGAGAAATATACAACGTAGGTCTTCTTGTTTAATGAAAAAAGAAATGGAAAATTAAGATTAAGATTAAGTCTTGTATAAATTGAGTAAGTAAAAATCTAGTCTGCAATTCCTTATTATTCATTCAATATTACTAAAATTTAAAATTAGAACGTTCCAGTAATTGCGCCATCTTGTGACGTCATAGCATTCACATCGAAAGAATTTCAAAGAACAGTTCTACTTCATACTAATATTATAAATGCGAATGTTTAGTTAGTTGGATGGATAGATGTTTGTTTGAAGGTATCTCCAGAACTGATGCAGCGATCTTAATGATATTTGTCATTGATGTAGATCATAGCCTGGAAGAACACGTAGGCTACGAATGACGGAGTCCCAGGCAACGGCTAGTAGTTGATATTTACGCGATTTTTTTTTGTCGAAATATGTATTTACAACCTTAAAACATTTAATAATAGATGTTTCATATTTAATCTTCCGCTTTGATATACAGTACGTTAACTGGAAAATTGAGCGATCGAACTTCGTGCAATAACCATAATTTCTAATTACTAATTCCTAACTTCTCATCTTACGTAAAGTTTGCGTTCGAACGTTGCCTGAAAGGATACTTTGGCTGAGTCTCTGCCGAATTTCTAATTTTAAGTTATTTCCTTTGGTGAATTAAATATATTAGTTTATGTTGAGTCTTATCTATCTTCGAACGTCAAAGGGGAATATGTCTAATGGTTTAAGTATATTGAATTTAATGTGTAGTACTACAAACTTTTCTGACCCGGTAGGCAAAGCTCTTGTAGAGCACATGATCTTAGTCTGACCGTACTCCGATTGACTGTCTCGTCATGTCTTGTCTTGGGTTTATATTTTTTTAAATTAATTTCTAACAAAACTTATCGCGATATTCCAATATTTTAGTTTTCTTTCGTAAAAATGTAAATAAGAATTTTATAAATACAAGACCAGAAATAAATTACTCTTGGCAGTGATTTAATAAATTTTTTATAACATTTAATTAGTATACAATTTCAATGGAATTCGAACTTTAAATTTAGAGATCATGGTTATTCACACTACGGATGCCATTAGTTAAAATGACACGGTAGTTTCGTGATATGGAAGATTTTCTTTTTTAAATTAGACATTTATTCATATTAGCTATCAAGTGTAACGCTGGCCAGTGTCCAATGATTTATTTTTTGCAATTCAAATGCACGTCACGTTTAGCGACATTTTGTTACATGAGAGAGAAGACTGATATACCATTGAAGAAAGATAGAAAGAGAAAGACAGGAAGGTAATTCTCGGGTATCTATAACCGTAAGATTCTATTGAAACCTCTATATAAAAATAATGTTTTCAGACTGAATGAGAGACTATACTTTACATGTTCTTTGACAATGAAAATCCACGGTATAGTCGTCTTATTGCAAGCTCTTGAAGCCTAAATGAGTTATAGGAATTTTTGTCACAAAGCAAAGCAAAAATAGTTTATTTTTGCATGTAAATACGAGTCATCATTTAACTGACCTTATCCCTATGAAGAGTCGGCAAAGTAGGTACTACGCCTCCATACATCTCGTATCAGCCGTCATATCTGAATTCACCCCATTCTTAAGCATATCCTCTTTTTCATCCATCTCTATTTTCTATAATATATTTACGAGCTGACTCCATTTGCGCGGGATTAAAAAATAGATATAAGCCGATTGTCAGACTTACTGAATATGCACATAAAATTTCATAAAAATCTATTCGACTTTCGGAGGAATATATTAACAAACATTATGACATGAGAGTTTTATATACAAGATTTGTTATGTACCAAGATACCATTTGATTATTTAAGTTTGATTTAATGTTTACGACCCAAATAGAGCTAAATTAAGTTGGTTACTTCAGCACAATGCAGTAATCTCTTAGCGGTAAGTGACGCAGAGCTTTGACATACTAACAATTAGCTACCAAAGGCTCTTTAGGATTACGTCTATTATCTATATCAGAAATTAACAAACTATTGTCTTCGAATTTCAGATATGCCGTATAAATAATTAATTAATTAATAGTACATTGAATTAGAAACAATTAAAGTAAAGATGACAAAAAATTAAAAAAAAAATTCTTTGTCATCTGTGATAAAATTATGTTTCTAAAATGGCTTTTAAAAAGGCAATACGAATTAAATGACATTTAAATCTTTTTAATATTATAAATGCAAATGTTTACATAGATGTATGGATGTTTGTTTGAAAGTATCTCCGGAACAGCTCAACGGATTTTGATGAAATTTGGCACACATAGTCTGGAAGAATTCATAGGCTACTTAGTAGTTTTTTTTTTAATTCCGCGCGGATGAAATCGCGGGAGACAGCTAGTCTTCAACATGTAGGCCAAAGCTCCACGGTATTTTAGTATGTTTATATGTTTTTCTTTTGTGTTTTTTTAACTTAACCTATGTCTTATATTTCTTTAAATTAATAGGTGTTTTGTGAAAAATAAATCTAACTCTAAAAACGTAATAAAACGGGCCTCAGTACTGTTTTGAGTCAGGTTAAGAAAAATCTGGGTAACTCAACAGAGAAATTTATTTCAATCTCGAAACTTTTATTCCAGTAGTTGACAAACCGATTTGTTCGAATGATATACGGACGCGGTAGGAGACTCGCG